AATTTATTTTCTTCAAATAAAATAATGGAGCTCATGTATGTAAAGGAGATTTCATAAAGCTCCATTTTAGTTCTTCCAAAAAGATCTTTCAAGATTCTAAGGAACATTGTTTACTCTTGCCTTGGTGTTCTTTCCTATCCAAAACAACCTGGTGCTTTGAAAACAGACATTTTTTGCCTGCATGAATTACTGCAAAGGTTCCAGTTATCCAGCCATCTCTTTGGTCCACAAGGTTAATGCTACTGACATTCTAACTCTCACTTTCATTTTGTTCTGAGCAACCCTTTCTCCTTTACAAACCAGCTTTTTATGTGCAGGCATATTTCTAGAAGCCCAGCAACCTGCCAGCACAATCTCGGTTCACAAAAACCTCTTGCAGCCTACAACTCTCAGAAGTAGGAAAAGGCACACTTGGGTAAAAGTATAAATTAATGCCTGCAAATGATTCAAAATAATAGGCAATTTCTGTCAGTCTACAGCTACGTGATATTACAGTCTTTATAATACCTTTCACATGCTAGAGGGCAACTAAATCTTTTCTACAGTCCCTCTGACCAGTGATGAGACAGGTCTAGGTCTCAGATGCAGTTTGCTTTGAGCCCTGGTAAGCAGCCAGTATGGCTACTGATAGCTAGCAATAACCATCACTACCCCAGTGCACACAGCAGTGGGGAGTGAGCCTGAACCCATGCAAAGCCCTCTAGAGTTTGTAGTACAGGTTTCCAAAGCTGCTCAGGCAAATCTGGTACCTGTTTGTCTTCCTCAAGCCAAGGAGGTTTAAGTTTCACTGTAGCCCCTGTTGCTCCTTTGAAAAACTAGACCAGAAAAGATGCTTTAGGCGTTCTTTAAAACTTTCAGCTTTAAAACCATAAAGATGATGAAGCTGTACTGGAGACAATGTCCAATACCCCAAAAAAATCTACCTGTAAGAAGGTTGCACCAAGGTTGAGGTCAGTCACTTTTCCTGAGTAACAGGACAAGAGGAAATGACCTAAAGTTGCATCAGGGGAGGTTTAGATTGAATATCAGGACAAATTTCTTCATGAAAAGGATTGTCAAACTTTGGAACAGGCTGCCCAGGGAAGTGGTAGAGTCACTATCCCTGGAGAGCTTTAAAATGTGTAGATGTGGCACCTCGGGATATGGTTTGGTGGTGGACTTGGCAGTGCTGGGTGAATGGTTGGACTCGATGACCTGTCTCAACCTAAACAATTCCATGATTCTATCAAAAGGCCACTTCAACCGTCTCTAGGGAACATGTACCAGGAATTCAAGCACAAGAGCAGCTCAGGATCAGAGCATATCTCCAGGAACACTGCATATGCTTGGCTGTTGGAAGGTGACCAGTGTCCACCCACAGCTGATTTACTCTCTTGCTTGCTTCCAGGCTCCTCTCCACACCAGTGCTGGGACAGGAATATTCTTTGGCATCTGTCTAGTTACTGGAATTGTGGCTCTTATCGGATATTCTTACCTCAGGTTCAGAAAGAGAAACACGAGCTTCCAGCACTTCAAGGTAGGTGGCAGAGAGGAACACAAAGCTTCTCCAGACCCATTGCAACTCACAGTTTCTCTGTGCATTTTGTTAAGACAGAAACACTCCCTTATCACTTCCCACTTGAACTGTTCAGACTGAGAGAGAAAGTGGGGAAGGCTCCCACACTTGTCTTGGGCACAAGCTTACATTTGCCCCCAGACACCTCCACCCAGGGTGCCCAATGGGTTCCTGCATGCATGGAAATTCCAGCAGGTAATTACAACCACTGAAAGTTCTCCTCTCCCTCCTCTGAGGCATAGCTAATCATTTTGTTGCTCTGGAGGTTGAAATGTTTGATAGGAAAAAGGTCAGATTCAAAAGACTAGCAAATTTAAATGACTGCAGGATTGAAGAATGCAGGTTTTTACATTGATGTGCTCTCATGCTTGATTTTTCTTAACTAACTTTGCTATCCTCACGTAGCATGGTGATGACTGAAACCAGCCAGAAACAACCAAGCTACTCAGAGATGAGGGATGACAAATAAGTTACAGAATGCACAAAAACCAATCCAAAAGAAAGTCTACCTAAAGTAAACAGAAATTTCTTCCTGTTCTAGCCCCTGCATGTAATATGAATCACCTTCTAGAAACAAAACACAGGACTCAAGAGCCAGGGAAAACGGTTGTGTTTTTATATAGTTGCAATGAGAGCACTCAAGACCAATCAAGTACTTTTTACCCCAGGCACAAGGTCAGGGCCACACCTCCTCTCCCATTCTTTGCTGAGGCTTAAAAATAAGAAGGGAGAGGAAAATCAGTGTTAATAATACTATAACAACCCAAAACGTAGTTCATGCTTGGAGATAGTGAGTTAGATGATACAGCCAGTTCAGTCACAACACTTCACCAGCTGGTGTTGAAGCTTAAGTGCCCCACTTAATGCATTGGAAGAAAAAGATGAATTTTAAGCAGGCTTATGTGCTTTCGTGTAGTCAAAAGATGACATTGACACATCATCACGGGAAAAGTCACAGCCTTCAAATATCACCAACCCCTCATATGAAAGATCTTCTGCACTGACTCCACCAGAACCTACTTATGATCTTTTCTCAGTAAGTATTCATTTTGGTTTGAGATTGAGAAACTACTAATATAAGGTTAAAAGGGAATGACCTTATGAAAGAAAAATGTCTAGTTGAAAAAAAATTAATTCAAGAAAACAACATATAAGTTCCTGGCTTTCCTGTCTCCCCACTGTGTGGAATTGGGTTATCTCATTTAGTAAAACTGAGGCTGTGATCTCAAGTATCTCAAGTCCATCTTCAAAGAGAGCTGAATTAAACTGGACTTCAAATGCCTCTGGATGACAGTGACATATCTATATCAACTGTAAAAGCCTTTGAATTTTGTCTTCATGTTTCCTTGCTGCAAACACAGCTGAGTGCCATGCTAGCACTCCAAAGAATCTGAAACACAAAAGGAGGGGGCTCGGTATCAAGAGAAGAAAGGACTGAGTAAAGCCAGAGTATCTGAATAGCTTCAGTGGTCCAAGTTAGCAATACTCTCATGTATATGCAGAGTCTAAAATCAAAATACACCTTTTTGCATCCAGTAAAAAGTCTTATTTGGTGCAAAAATGTTGGTTGCCAACTCTACCATCTGCATGGACTAATGTGCCAAACAGTTACTTTCGTTTCTTAGCGTAATGTGCAAGTCTGATTTTCTTTTTTCTTCTATTTTATAGGATTCAGATGACCAACAGCTTGTGATGAGTGGTCCTCATGATCAGAATTGAAGACTGAATTTGGCATTAGTCAGTTATTAAACACATTTCTATTTACACTTGCTGTGAAGAAAACCAGCACCTACACATTACAGGGAATAAAATCTTGTTACAAATTAAAAACCAAAAGAGCACAGCCTTTTTTAAGATGCAGTCTATATAACTCAGAGTTACCAACCTCAGAAGTGTTGGCTGTATCTGAGCAGTACCAACTGCGAATGCTAAATGCAAGAATGAGTCTCAACAAACCTAACCGGAAGCAAACAGACTCCTCACTGGGAAAAGTAGATAACTTTCACTAGCCTGCTTTTTAACTGCTTTTATTCTTCTTCACAGACTTTAAAATGGTCACAAACACACAGGGCTGCTAACTTGGCAAATATCCTAAATTTCTTAGTACTCTAGGTCTGTGCTTTCCTTTAACTCAGTTACAAGCATGAAAAAGGACATGTGTTAAATGTCTATTTTTAAACTGAGGGGATTTTTTTGCTAATATACTTTCAAGTAAGATATTCAGCAGCAGGAAACACAACCACCCTGTCTGCCCCACTCGCCTCCGCGAGCTTTTCTGTCTTTCCTTGAACTTGGCTGTTTTGTTTACATCTCATCTCACTGTACAAAGGCAAGCAGTCATTGAGGCAGCTCTAGCAAGACATGCAGGTGATATGAGAGCATTTAAATGCCAATCAGCCTTTACCTGACCCATTTTTGTGACAGACAACGAATACGAACATCTCCTTACCATGCAATGCCTACATTCAGTTTTTCAGGTCTGGGAGGAGCAGAAGCTGCTTCTTCACATACTGTATTTTTATAAAGCACAGCAGTAACAGCTGTGACTGGCACCACACTATTAGAAGTGAATCAAACTAGTTCCCTTCTGCCAAAATATTAACAGCATAGCGATACAGTGAGAACACGGAAGAAACCACAAACCAGCAAGCAAAGAAAGATTTTTCTCGCTGGCAGCAGTAACATCCCCCTAATGCCGAGGGGGCATTAGGTGATGTCACCCCAGGATGCCTACTATCTGAACGAGATAAGCAGGCAAACCCAGGGCTGCTGATGAAGCTTTTGAGCACAACAAAGGGAATCTAATGTGTAAATACACGTGGATGAAACAGACCCAAGTAACTTCCCAAACTTCTTCCCCTGCCCCCTACACACACCTGCTTTTTTTTAACTTCTGTTAGAAAGTTTAGAACACAAAACACACTCATATATCTAGAATTTTGCAATTAATACATCTCACGTTCTTTCCTTCTCCCCAGTCACCCAACATATTAAGGCTCAGAGAGACCAGAAGATAAAGTCCAAACATTTATTTTTGTAATAATCATTAAATATTTTTATCACAAAAAAAAAAAAGCCCCACAGTTCATAAAACTCTCTTTTACTGACAGACTATTCACCTCTGTGTTTTTCGATAGAACAGAACAAAAATTTCTTCTTGCTTTGGTGTTCAAATGAACTATACTCCCAAAATTAATATAAAGAAACACTGCCTTTAAAACATGCTCAAAAATATCTTTGAAGTCAGTAGCACAACAAGGTTAAAATGAGTAACACAGAGAGTGCCAAGGTGAAATCATTTAAAAAATGCAAGATATTTTTAAAAGTTAAAAGAGCTGCATTCTAGCACTGAAAAATAAATAATACACTTCAGTATTCTCACTTAAATTCATATTATATATAGTTGGATTGTTTTAAAGAAACACAACCCTCCCATATTTAATTCTTTTCATGCAGCATTGTTTATTTCAAGAACTCATGCAATATAAACAATATTTTACTTGAGTTGGCTGTTGTAACATAGCTTGGTACAGAAGTTTGATTTTCTAAGGCAGGGTAAAAGAAGAAAATCTTGAAACAAAATGCGCATTATGGGGATAACAACATCCAAGCCAATTAAACTGTTCCTGCTTAACACAGGAAAATTAAGCAAACAAACTGGCTCCTAGCCAGCTTTAAAAGAATAAACATCATAGAGCTATAATCAACAAAACATGATCAAGTTCAATAATGCAGAACTGAATAATACAATCTTATGATTTGCTAGTAGTAAGACAGAGAATGTAGAGTAGTTTTGGTGGGTTTTCTCTTTTCTTAAAGAGTGAACTGAAATCTCTGCAGCACGAGCAGTGCTACACACGAGTAACACCGAGTTCAGTAGTAGCTGAGCATCAGAATAAAGAACTGAAGGCAAATCATGATATTTCCATCCCCACATTTCATTAACAAGTTGTGCTATATATTTCTTGCACAGCCACACCAAGAAGTCTCCTGATAAAGTCAAACTGACTTCCTGCAAAACTTTATCTTTCTATCCAGCAAAACAGCAGGACGGTCAGAGGAACTTCCTCGTCTGTTTAAACACACACACACACACTTCAGGCGTGTTGCAAGTCAAGTTTGAAATAGGAGCACAAGGAAACAATAAAATCTACAACCGCCTCTGAGGACTTCATACTGATTTCAAGCATACAGGAAAACTACTTATAAAATTGTGCAGGCTAGATTAAAATACATTCTTTACTTTGCAAACATGCTTTTAAAAACATGAAAGATATCGTATATGAAATTCAATCTAGGTACTTGCCCATAATACAGACAGGTTAAAAAAGAAAAAAAAAACAAAACAAGAAAACTTTTGGTCACCAAAAGTTTGTTTACCTGACAATCATGATAGAAAGCAAGTGATATCCCAAATGAAATTAAGAACACCCTAGGCTATATATTTTGTTAATTATACACTTTTTAAATGCTTTTAAAAGCCTTTAATAACTAAAATTTGGAAGTTATTAATTATATTATACCTGCTAAAATGGCTGGGGTGGGAAGCACCAGTTAAAACCAAAAAAAACCAAAAAACAACCCATTTCCTTTGGATCCAGAGAAATAAAATAATTCTTACTTAAAAACAATTATATAGCAGTTCTATAAAGTGCCTGTTTGAGGAAACACATCAACAGATGTTTTCCTTGTGCAAAGTAGACATTTTTCAGCTCAAATCTTTGGAGCATATGCTACCCAGAGTTTGTGTTTATGCATTACCTTCAATTTCAGTAATTCAATAAAACCTTTAATCTGCACCACCAAAACTGTTTTTCTCTTTATGCAAAATCTGCACCACCCCTAATTCAGCTTTCAGGGCTTGAGCTAAAAACATGTCAACAGAAAACTCTGGGTTTCATTTTCTCATTTCTTACTTTTTCTTTTAACTCCTTTGCCTGTTGTGCGTATTTATTCTTGACTGTAAAAGGCTATATGAAATACATTCTCTCCTAGCAAAACCACATTGCATACCACTGTAATAAGACACTGTTAAAAATTTTAAAAGCAGCATTTAGGATCAAACTAAAGCCTGATGAAAAGATCTGTATCCACTTTGAAATGCCAAATGCAAGACCTCTTGAAATTACTTTATTACTAGAGAGTGGGTATTTGAAGTGTTTTGAAACTTAAAAAGAAAGTTGCCTAAAAGTTAACAAGAGGAAGCTGAAGCAGCCCAAGCTACTGGCAGTTTCAGGTTTAGGCTCAGGTTCACCTGCAGCCAAGCACAAACATTACAAGAACAGAAACTGCACAGACAGGAGAAAGAGCCCATCAGCCTGAGCCTGTCAGTGCAGCACAGCAATGCTGACACCACAGCCCTCAGCTCAGTCAGGTCAGCTTGCAGCCACGGCGGCAAGGAAAGGTACAACATGTACATTATCCCTCTGAGTCTCACCCTGACCTGGTTATTAGCTGTTTATCACTGAGTTACTAACACTGGATATAAGCTTTTCAAGTGTCAAGATCCATTAGAGGCTCCAGCTGGAGTGCTGAAAAGGGCCAGAAGTGAGAGTACAGGTATTTCTTTGTAAACCACAAGGCTGCAGATCCAAGTTTCCAATAAAGAAACAAAAAGAACCACCCCAGAACACTACCAGTCCTTCCCCTTAGATGAGCTCTCCCTCCTGGCCTATTACTACTTTGGCAGTCCATCATGTCTTCTGTGTCTAAGAGGAGTTTTCACATGTCTGAGCAGAAGAGGAGAAAATAGTTACAATGCTTGTAAATATGAGATACATCTAAACCAAGGTAACAGATTTAAGTGACTTAAATAAAATACACATACATTCAAAAAAACCAAGATATATTTGTCCATTTTAGAGAGAAGTCACCAAGTTTTTATTTGATCTGAACTGTCTCTTGTAGGAAAGGTATTCTGAATGTACCAGTGCACAGCTGGTCTGACCAGCCAGGAAGTTCATGCTGCAAAGGAGTCCTTCTTGGATAAAACGTGTAATCAGGCTCATAGTTCAAGAGACAACTCAGTGATGCCATGTAGATATCCGCAAATCTAGAGAGACGTCTTAAGAAATAAGTTGGATTCTCGTCCGTTCTGAATATGCTGCCAAACTGCGCATTGAAGAAATTCCTGTTCATCTCCCTGTCCCCCAAAGAAAGAAAACAAAGACAGTGAAGTGAACACACCTGCACATACCTCTTCACTAGCCAGCATCCAGAACCTGAAGCAAGCTGTTCCTATAAGCTGGTCTAGGCATTATTCTCTTGCCATTGTACTTCTGAACACTTAAAATGCGCTACATAAGAAATTTTCTCACCTCTTGCACACATGTAGCCCAGAACTAGAAATCGCAGTTGTGAACAGAAGAGCTTGACACTTCTCCCACTAAACCCAGAGATAAATTGCTTCTGACATTAGAAACATGACATCTTATGCCTTCTTTTCTAGAGACTGCGAAAGAAGACTTTTACCTTTATCTAAATCCTAATGACATTCACTTGTTCCAAAGATAACAAGACTTGTTAAAAAAAGTCATATCTGGCTTAATGCACACAAAAAGCTTAAACACTTCTTGGAATTAACTTCTGTCATTAGTTGCTGCCAAGTATTGCTCCCATTTCATTTACTTCCACGTTTCTAGGGAAGGCTGCTGCTGGTGCAGCTGCTGGCCTTGCTAACTGTGCACTTCACACCCCTCGCATTTAGGGATTACTCCTCTCCTTCATGATAATAGATTATTAGAGTTTTAGTCCCATTACCTATCTTTGTGATAAAACCACTGCTAAATCCAGTCTAGTGCAGAGCCCAATTTCTACATGTAATATATTTTAGAATACATAATCTGAAAAAATCATCTAAAAAATTGAAAAAGTAACCTAAGTCTTGAAGAAGAAATACAATTTTTAATTGTCCAGAAGCTGTGTAATCAACAATGGCAGCTGAACACAGAGCGAGAGGAAAACCAAAATGAGAAGGGAAAGTATTTGATCTGATATTACCCTTTCATGCAGAAAAGTAACATCTGCTCTAAAGAAGGAGAACAGGGAAAAGAGGTTCATATGCACAAAGTGTCAGAGGAGAGAAGAGCTACACAAGAGACAGGTAAGAATACTGCTACAGAAAAACATTTTATAAGGTCTGTAACTACCAGGGAATATAAATCAGGGTGGGAGAGAAGATGTTACATAGAACCCTTAACTATCACGAAGCATATTGCAAATTCTTCATCTCCTGTGTCTTACCTCATTTCCTTCCTTTCCTTCTTCCATTCTTCTAAAATCATCTGAGAATCAGGATCACGGTGAACCTGAAATGCAAAGTGTGGATAACCTTTAACTAAGGATACCCTTATAGATAAGCCTTTCCATCAATAAACCCTTATCAGCCAACAGGACATGAGCGATACTTCAGAGATCAGTATACAGAAGTTATCCACATGCATTTTAAACAACCAAAAGCAGGCATTGATCCAGGCTAACCAGTGGAGGAAGGGGATGAGATTTTGAGAAAAAAAAAAAAACACATTAACTAGCCACATGAATAACTGCATTTATTTATCTACAGTCAAACACTTCAGTGAGACTCAAAGCACTTGCAACATCAGTGTCCAGCATTTAGAAACTTGGCTGGATCCCTTCTGCTACACAGAGCCGATTACACACAGACACAGAACAAACCTGCAAGTGTTCCAATAATCCTGTCAAGGTTTGCAGCCAGGTCATGGTTTGAATGTACTTCTCTGTGTTCATGATTTTAATCTCTGATCGTAACTCTGGAATAATTGCACCAGTGCGCCAGCCATGCTTCAGGGTCAAGTCCTATTCACCAAGAATTGCAAAATTAGTCTTAAGAAGGACTGCTTAAAAAGAACAGAAGAATCTGACCATTGTGTATCCCAAAGGGGCACTAATTGCTTCTTATGTATAAGCAGGAATATGAAACCGTGGGACTTAACTGTGCCAATAAACGATAAAATTTAATTTCAAATTAAGCTTCAAATCCTGCATTTTTGAAGAGAGATAAAGAACACATAAGCACTTTCAAATAAACACTAATTCATTAGATTTAAAATAAACAAAAGGACTTTTGTCTTGTAGATGAGACCACTGCTGCTGTCAGAAGTATCTGAAGGAACCATGTGTTGGGTTTGTGATATCTACCCACACATTCAGCTAACAGAAGGCTCCTATCAGGAGCCCCAGCTATCCAATCTCCTCCTGACAGGTACAACACAAGGCAGATGCCACCTGTGCTTTCTTCTCCATTGTGCCAGACTACAACACAGCTGCAATCTCCTTTTTTCAATCCTCAGTCTTCTGAAGCACCCAAACTTACTCTTCTTTTTAAAAGTAGACTGGGGAAAAAAAATGTTAACATCTTCTGCTGCTGAAGCATGTTATCATAGCTTGCCAGTGGAAAAGTCCTATCCAGGCATTCATATGAAATCAATTACAAAAGACTTCAGTGTTGGTCACTTACCCTAAATTAACAGCTAAAATATATTTTCTCGTAAGGTGGTAAGAAAATACTCAGAGAGTTGGGATACAAACCAGAGCAAAATCATAAGAAGGAAGTTTACCATTAGTGATAGGAAGACTTCCTCTTGCATTCAAAACAGAAGTTCATTCATCTCTTGTTACACTTGGCAGTAAATGCCATCCAAATCATGCGTATCCTGTATATTTGGATATCTGTGTTTACTCTGCTACATCTGACACAATCAGTATCTGGATCAGGTATACAAACTCACACACTCCTGACCACAGTCGATAAACAAGTTAAATGCTACAAGTCAGGTGCAAAACATGGCTGGCCTTTTAGGGCACCAACATTCTTCACTATGGAAAAAAGCCATATGGCTTAACCACCAACCTAGTTTTGTTGTATTTCAAAATCTCAAATTAAAGTGCGTTATATTAAATAACTCGGGGGGAAAGAGAGGAAAACTAACAAAACCACTCTTCTTTTATCTTATTTTGTGAAAGCAAACTACTTACTGCCAAGTCACTGTATATGTGGTCACCAAAGTAGAGCACCTTAGAGCCCCTCCAGCCAGTAAGTTTCAGAAATTCATACAAGTTACCCTGCAGAAACAATGATATGTACATTGCAGCAGCATAACACTTGCATGAGAAAGAAATTTAGTACACCCCTAAAAACATTTTCATATCATTTATCTATCACTCCATTTATCTATCACTCCAAGGGGCAAGGATGTACAATACCAACAATGAATTTCTACAACTTCAGACACTAAAATAACTGTCTTGAAGAACATATTACATTTTAGAAGCCCTTATTTCTAAAGAAGGTTGGGATTCTACGAAATAGGTGTTAAATTTGAACCAGAAGAATCTCTTGAAAGCATACCTGTTTGTAAATCTGACCTTTCTGCAGCTTGTGAATCTTGTCCCAGAGCAACACCCCCCTTTCATTCACCTTCCGGAACGGTCTAGAACAGATATACAATTGTTGTGTTTCTGTAGAAACTCCGTCAATTCTTAGGAGATTAAAGTCTGAACATTAACAATACTCATCTCTCAAAAGGAAAACATGCTCTCTAGCACCTGAACACTGTAACAGAAAAAGCAAGACTCCAAAACTTCCATTTTAACCAGTGAAAAGCAATGGATCTCTCCAGTACACAATGATGTTTGACAGAGTTTGAGAACAGCTGTTGAGAAGTAAGGCAGGGACCCCAAGCAGAGGGGAAGACACAGCATGAATTGTCTGCCAAGAAGGAGAGAATACAAAAAAAACCTGAAGATGTGGAAAAATCTTGCCCAATACCTCATTTTGTACACGTGGATAACTGAAGGGTAAAGCACTGGGGGTAAGATGTATAGCAAAGTTCTTTTTAAAATAAAATGAAGAAGAAGGGAAAAAAACACCCCCACCTCCCTCTCTCTCACTTTCAAATCATAATTACACATAAAGGAACAGGTCTTTTTCAAATATAATAATAGTGTATGCATATTACAAATGTGTTTACGTAACTGAACAACTAGTCCAAGTATTCCAGTCTGTCAGCCAGAGAGATGCCCTTTAAACATAATTTGTGACTAAAAAAAAAAACCTGAAGCAATGAAAGACATTTCCAGATAAGGGGATGATTCTAAAAGGCATCAAAATTTCTCAGGTTTCTTAGGAAAGAAGCACACTTCACCAACTTACAAGCACGATATTAAAAATACCTTCTGTGACCCTAACTCACTCCAGCAGACCTGTGATAGCTCCTGAAACCTTCTTAGGTAAGAAACAGTAAATATTTAGACTTCAGAATTGCCTATTGCTGCATTTTGTAGTGACCTTATACAGGATTTCACCAAGTATGATTTCATTTTACATTGCAGCCAACTTAAAATATTTCGAAATAACACTCTCTACAGCCTTATACGGAATAAGCTGCTTGAATCATTCTTTGGTGACTGAACACCCACCTTCGCTTATCATTGAAGAAGTTTGGTTTATCAGCCTGTACAATGACCACATCAAAGAGATCCCTCCAGTCCTTGCCAACTATGAACTTCATGCCTTTGTCCCTAGAAAGGAGAGAGGGATATTAACAGTGTAGCATAACAGATGTGCAGTTATCTGAGCAACATAATTAATTACATATTACATTAATTATATATGACTAATTACACTGGAGAACCTCATTCTCCCCATCCTCAGAAACAACTGTTCACTTACACAAAGCTGCTGGGACTGTTTGTGATGAGAAACATCTTCTTGCCATGATCAGCCAGCTTAGCTAACACCGCACGAGTTTGCTCAGCGTAGCAGATGTATTTCTCTGTCAGGATTGCGGAAAACATAGTATTAATTGAGAAAGTTTTTCACAAGAATTTTCTCTGCATTCAACTAAGGGGTTCAGAACACAAGGTTATACTTAAAAAGGCACCTCTGACAAGCTCTCAAGTTTTAAAAATTTAGAATTTGAAATCTTAAATATGGAAGCCAGAAGGATCAGTATGCTATCACTGAAAAAAGCTTTGATAGATTATGTAATTAGTACTTACCAATATCTGCTTCAATTGCTCTGTACATTATTCCTTTGATATGGACGTCCCTGATTGCATCCTGTAAGGAAAGTAATAGAGCACTGGAGAACTTTAAAGTCTTTTCAAGTATAAAATCCCTGCTCACTGCAATAGCAGTAGTAATTTGTTTTTAAAACGATTCCTTTCTCAGAATTGCACTTTACAGAAATGCCATGTAATGTTCATTGAATAAACGTGTCACCACTAAAAGAGTAAGCCTGTCCTCCAAGACACTAACTTCATAATTTTGAGAAGTACAAAACTGTATAGCAGAGGGGCTGTTTTACATAACTACTGTGAAAGGTTGCTGAGAAGGGTGAAGTGGGGTGAAAGCCCTCTGCAGCAGCAGTCACCATTTCTCTGTGGTGACTGTCCAAGTGACCACTCTCCACTGCTCTGTGGTCACTCTCCAAGTGACCTTTGGAGCAGAACACATTCCTCTCCTCTTGCAGGGGAAAAAAAAAAAAAAAAGCACCAAACAAACCAAAAGTTTTACATCTGACAGATTTTAGATTACAATCACTTACAAATGCCCTGGTTATTTAAATAAGGAATTTATGAACAGATGAAAGACGCTAAATGCTTGAGCAAAGCACTCATAAGGCGCTCTGGAGGCATTTAGCAGCTCTCGTGAGCCAGCTCTGCACCAGACAGCTTTGTTTAAAATCAGTGGTACTGCCATTTTGGTACTTACATGGGCTACATCCTCAAAATCTTCAAAAATACCAGTACAGGGCTTCCAAAATACTGGTAATGCTGAACAGTACAGAAATTTCCACACCTACTTCAGCAGGAATTACATGAACTAGCCTTCTGACTTTATGTAACCATACATAGGTAGAAGGGAAAATTACTCTGGAGGTAGAAAATTTCTTAAAATCCATCTGATCTACTTGGGAAAGTGAGAAATTCAACATTTGAGTGCATCACATGTGTTGAACAACTGCAGAAGTTTAATACATGTCAACAAGGAGCCAGGAAAAGGTTTTGGATGGAATGCCTGTGCAGACAAATACTATCACCTTGAGCATTATCTCATGTGTTCTTACACAACCATGACATAAATGATCTCCTCTGCAGGATACATCCTGAGGAATCAAGAGGGTCAAATTACTCTAGATTAGTACTAGAGTTTTCCTGGAGGAGGACGAGAGGTAAACAGGCAAAACAAATAGCCCAAAAGCATGAGGTAGCGAATCATTGTATACCAGCCAAGATGTAGAGGCATTACAACCGAAAGCTCCAAACTGGAAAACCCTATAGTTTCTTATATTACTGATAGTGAGAAATAGGCTTTGTTTAATAACAATCCAAAGAAGTCTTATCAAATTACAAGAGTTTCTTCACTTTCCCCCTATCCACCCCTCAAACCTACAAAAAGAGCAACAGTCCTAGAGAATGTCAGATTTCAAACACATTCCAGATGATTCTGTGTTTTTTTACCAAGCTCTACCTTAATTTTACTTAAGTTTTTAAGGTTATATAGTAATAATTACTCCATAAAAAATCTAAGGTGAGGTATTTCACTGAGGCTGATACAACAGGTGAAAGCTTTCTGCAGTGCTCACAGAGCAGATGCACAAATATAGAGGTTTACCTAAATCTTCAAAGCTACTACCTTGACATCTTTGTACAGATGAACAGGTTCGTAGTCTATGTTGTTTTTCAGAAAATATTCGTTCACACAAGAAAGAAGTGTCATTTCTGGCAAGGAAAATATATCCATGAATTGCTTCATTGTATTTCCTTGTGAGCTCTACAGTGGTGGGAAGAAAAGGGAAGAAAAAAAAAAAAAGTCAGGCATTTGTCAGATTAAAACACTTTCATTCATTCAGGATAAACATTTCAGCTTAGTTGCAGATATTCAGGTTTTGCCATCCCTGTTCATACTGCTTTAGACACTTTTATCAAAGGTCTTAGTTCATGAAGGATCTCCAACAAAAGTGTTGTGATTAATTCTTCAAATAAATCCAACTCAATTCTTCAAATAAATCCAATTCTTTACTCTTAAAAGCAATATTTTAATTCATAAAAGCAAGACAGCACTCAGCTTAAAGGCAAGGAAAGGCCTTAGAGGTCTTGACTAGAAATCTGCACTTCTGCAAATAAGAGGCACTGGGTACTGTGATGGCAGACAGAGGTTCTCTTATTTGTTTGGGGTTTTTTTAGTAAGTGGAATACTGATTAGGATTGCAAAACAATTTACCTCCTTGAAATAAGATAATAAAAAGCTTTAAGAATCTACAATAGCTAATGCAGTAACAAGGGATTTCTAGTCTGCAAAAGCCATAACAACAGTTAAGTCTCACAAAAGTAGAGAATCTCATTATACAACAGCAAATACACCACATACTTCTCAATAAGGAGACAAGTAAAGCAACCAGCTCAAGATCACTGAAACACAGAATAGTTGAGGTTTCAAGGGACCTCTGGAGGTCATCTTGTCCAAGCCCCCTACTCAAGCATGGCAACCTGGAGCCCACTGTCCAGATGGCTTCTGAATTTCCCATGCTGGAGATTCCACAACCTCCCTGGACAACCAGCCCATGCCAGGGCTAGGTCACCCTCACAATAAAAGAAGGTCATCTGCCTGATAAGGAAGCACCCTGTGTTTCAGTTTGTGTCTCTTGCCTCTTGTCCTGTCACTCTCCTTTCTAAGATCTAAGAAAGTATAGGCCTAAAGAGACCAAGGCACCCCACAGGGAATGCCAGGATGATATTCACAACTGCTGCAGAGAACAGACTCAGGAATTCTAAATTCAGCTCCTTAAAATAAGAACAAGTGCAAGAACAATAAACTGTTCCACAGCCCTAAGAAGTTCCTTTCATGTCAACATGGAATTAACACCCCTAAGTAAAAGGTGTAAAATAAACTTGGCTTCTCAGTAAAAAGACAGCACCATTCTTCACTTGGGAAAGAGAAAGGAACCTACTAGCAAAAGATCAACCTTCCTGAGAAAGTCAGATCTTAAATCTAAATGTTTCATCTCTTCATTCATCTTTTGTCAGATCCTCCATCACTCTGCCAGTTTGCACACTGGAGATGCCTCCACACATTTACTTGCTGCTACATCAGTTCAGCCATCAGACCACCAGGAAGAAGTACACAGCCTGGGTAAAGCACCAGATATGGTTCATTTCCCAGCCTTTATCAGATTTGCTGTGCAACACTAAGCAAGTCACTTGATTTTCTATGTTCCATTACTCTGTCTGTATGACTGGGCAAAGGAGAAGTCGAAGAAGAAACTATAGTAAGCAGGAGAAAGGAAACTTTAGAGGGTAAACTTCACATCTAGCACTATAAGTCAATCATATATTGAGAAAATATAACTGCTAGTTATAATGAGAACAAAATTTAAACACCACTACCCTCACACCAAAATAAACCCCCCAAAAAAACAAACAAAACCAAACAACAGCCACCAAACAAACAAACAACCATTTATAAAGATCAATTTGTGTTTTTACCTTTCCATAAAAGTCACTCATTTGTTCTAAAGGGACATGGGAACCATCATACATGGCAATAACTTCTTCATCTGGTACAACGCTGAGGCCTCTGGAAAACAACATTAGCTTTAGTTCAAAAGTCAGATTAAAATTTTCAAGTAATCACCAAAGTCCAACAGATTACCATGTAGCTCTGGACTTTATTAAAATACAAATAATGGTTATATATTTTGTCTATAAGCTAAAACAGCATCTTTCCTTACCAAACAAGTAACATTTTAACAGACTGATACACACAGAACATATTCCAATTTTAACTTTAAAATTTGACTTTACTTTCTTACAGGAAAAGAGCTAATTAGTCTCCATTGAAATTATGCCTCAAGGGTTTGTAAGTAGTTAGAGCTTACAGTTTCTTAACACAAATTCCTCACTGCCTTCCCTCCATAGAGTATTGATGATGTGATAAGTGTTTAAACCAGATTATTCTGCATCATGACCTTGCTTCTGTGTCCTTTGGTGAGGATTTGGATGCCTGCAGTTTTTCAGATGCTTTAGTAAAACAAATTCTTATTTAGGTAAAGGCTCTGTATGTTTTTCTTTCCCTTGAATCTTCAAGTTTTACCAGAAGACTCACAGTCTTGACACAGTTCTCAGTCCAGCTGTAAAACTACAAAGTTTGTTTTATTTCACCGGCAGCATGGACAGACAGCTCTAAAAGCATCACTCTTCACCTTAAGCAGCACTCCCACTGCTGCTGTTGGAGATGTGCATTTTAGAGGGACACCAGAATTGCTTACACCTTTCAGTGCAAATGGGGCTGTACACTTGGACGAGTCTTTTAGCTGTGTAACCGATCTACACACGTATAGAACATATGGAAAAATAAAACTAGCAATTACAGGTATGCAGCAACTGACAACAAAGCTCACTGTTGGTACAGAAGAGAAAAGGTAATCTCATTTTAAACAAAATTGAGAGAAAGTACTAAGTGAAATGGTAGCTTTAACTCTCATGCTCACACAGACCATAAATAACAAGATGTGTGGCCTAGCAATCCACCCAGAATTACTCTGGGTGACAAGGAGAACAAGGGCCACCAGCACTTCATAAATCTTAACACCTTCCTAGAGTTTTCTTGGCTGGTCATTATGTTTTGGCTTTGGACGTGCCTTTTGTATTAGGAGCTGACATCAACTGATTTTATGCCTCTTCATTTGTCTCACTCTGAGCCATAACACAAGACTGCTGATGGACTCACTACCCATTCATCTCCTCATCTAGGACACCTATACAGTTCCAGTCCTACCACTGCTCTTCTTGACATCATTTCTCACACCCTTCAACCTCTTTTTAACTCCCCTCATGCCTGTACAGGTGTTTAGGGAAACAGCATGCAGATATGATGAAATCCTGATGACGAGCTGATCCAGGCACCACCAACACATGCCATCATTTTGTTCCCTCTGTCTCTGGTGCTCTCGTACATACTTGTTTCCATCCACACCAATCGTTACATTTTTACTACATACTGCCACAGATTACCTCATAACTGCTTTGGTTACCTCACCTGGCCTTTAATCTAACAAATTAGCATTTTTCAAAGTGAATCCTGCCATCATTAACCTTTACACCAAGTTCTCTGATTCCATCCTAGCCCTGCATAAATTATTTCTTTGAAAACCACAACAGGCTTTGTCAGTTGAAACATACAGTAATTATTCTATATCAGCACACACAAATAAGTGGTATAAAGTTCCCCTCAGACTCTGATGATAAATATAGAACACGTTCTGGTAGATTTAGATATCTACTGTGTTGATGGTAGGAGACTAATGCTGGTCCGTGCCATCTTGTGTCCTTTTTCATTTTCCTTGCCTTCCTCTACCCTCTCCCAAAAGGCATCTCAACCAAATTAGTACAGTAACAGATCAATGACTGTGGCTGAATCATCTCCCTACCTGCTCAACTGCCAAACAAAAAGAGGTAATGAGCACATTATCATCATTTCATACTACTATATATATACTATATATATAATCCCCCACGGTAAATCACTTCAAGGTCCCATCATCTTTTGGCCCCAGAGGAAAACGTTTTGTCCAATGACTTTAAGAAAGGTGGTCTAGCTTCTTGCTTGATTTAAAATCTGGTACTGTGGGTGGTGTTCAAGTCAGTCAAATGTGTACAGCTTCATTACAGCAAACTGAGCCATTCTAAAAACTTTCCTGTCAAAGTCCACATGTGGTAGGTCTACATCATGTAACAGAGAACAGTACAGAGATTGCCCATGTTATATCAATTCAGTAAACTCAAAAAGTATCAGGCTGTGCTGTGCTTCCTTCTGCAAGTATGATGTGGTCGACGTGTCCAAACTTAAAAGCTCTGCACAAACACAGCAAGACCTCTCAAGTGTCTCCACAACCACACCAGAGTCATGCTAACAGGCACTCTGTGACAATTATTTACATAGAAATCAACAGCAGAGAAGTCATCAGTGTATTTTTAGATATCTTTCAGCACAATTTAACAGCCGGAAACAAAGTGAGTCAGCACTATGTGACCAACCAGCCTGCCAAGTTCCCCAGCTGGACTGGGGAATCAGCTGTACTGTATCGGTCAGTAAACATGTACACATGTCTGTGTGTACATACAGACGTGCAAAGAAACCCCCTTCCAGTAAGCCTGCAATGTTCACTCACACCTGTGGTTGTCAGAGCACAGTTCTTGATATGAACCCAAGATGTATAGTAATAAATGCAGTTAAAAGATTAAAAAAATAAGAGTAAACTTTCTTATCATAAATAGAAAATAATTTTACCCACCTGTAAACTGTTCCCAGCTGAATATAATGAAAAGCATCAATCTTCATTAATAACGCCTTGCAGGAAAAAAAAAGAAAATAAGTTTTTATCACATCAACTATTTTACATGAAATTATAAAAGTCAAACCAATTTTACCTCTAACCTGTCTCAAGAACACCTGAGCACCGTCACTTCAACTTCCTTCGTAGCTTCCAAAAAACTTTTATCAATTACTTTTACCTGAGTTTATTCTGCTGCACTCTTTAAGTTGCCTTCCCCTGCCCACCACGAGGACAAAAGATCCAAAGCATTTTCTACTTAAGAGCTATTAAAACAGTAATAATAATAATAATAATAATGAAAGAGGAGAATATGAAACAAAACTCTTACAAATCAATGCGGAGTGGAAAGTTGGAAGACTTAAAAGCTCTATTTATTTTCTTTGGCTGGGTTCTCAGCGCTAAATAACACACCACAAAGTTATTTATACATACCCGGTGCACATCATAATGAAGTCCTCTGATGGCAAAATTTGGATCATAATCATATTTTCTTATTTCTGCAGGATACTAAGAAGAGAGAGCAATTATTTTAAAGCCATTGTAGAAACAAATAAAAATTGTTTCAGCAGAACTTTAAAAGTCTAAGTTTTCTGTGCTTCTCATTTTCTCTAATCATTAAGAGGCTTTTGATAGGCTGGTGAAGATTTGCAGGAACATATGTACACAGTACAAGACAAGTCAACAATTTTTCCAGAAATCCAAGGCCATTGTTTTAAATCTAAGTCAATTGCGGTACTTGAAGCTGGACATCCAGGTATACTCTGTAGTGATGACCTTTGAACATTAGCCTCTTGTTCAGAAAAGTTGATTTAATATATTCTTAATATATTAAAATAACTCCTTGTTTGGAGTTGTAAGTGAATTGAATGTCTTTGTCATGTACTCTTTCCTCATGTTCTTTATATGTAACGTAGGCAGCTCATCCCTTATTATATAGTTTTCTAGCATTTTTCAGTACAAGCCCATTTTCAGTCCCTTGTAATTTTGTCCTGCTTTAACCATAGGTTGCCACGAAAAAAAAAGTCAAGTGCGTGCCTTGGGCTAAGGGTTTTGTTCACTTGTTTTTAAAAGGTAAAATGCTTCAGTCATTTCAACAAGGTCAGAGAAAACTATCATTTCTTTGATTAACCCTCTGAGAGGCAATCTTTCATTTCCCTCCCACAGGCTACAGTAGCCCTAGATCTTGACAAATTCATCTCAGGCACATTTTTCACCTTGTCTACAACAGTCTCCATGCACGTATGGCTAATTTACAAGCCTTCGGGAGGGGGAGGCAGGGAAAGTACATCACGCAGCTTCAATGGAGGTTCTAGCCACTCTTACAAGAAATACATAAACTGCAATTTAGCCTAAAGTTTTTTATCTTGCTGAAGAGGACTTACCCTGCAACTGCTGTGCTTGCATTGAGCACAGGCATATACAGTTAAAGAAAACAGCTCCTTCTCCTAACTATCTTCCCTACTACCAGTTCATGAAAACACAGGGTAGGCTACTGATCAGAATGAAAAACAGGATCAGAAGCCTACAGAGAGGTTAGAAGACGTGAAGATTTGGCCAGGGAACATGAAGCAGAGGCACAAGGGATGACATCAATGAAGGATATAGAATGTGATCAATTAAAAGCCACCATGTACTGCACATGACCCAAAGCAACCACATTAAGCATGTGCAATGAAATTTATTTCTGACTTTTATCAAATTTCTGCATACTTGACTTGCCTACTTTATTCTACTAGAAGGCTGGGTTTTTATATTCATGGAAGTACATAAGAAGTAAAGATTGAGCCTATCCCGGCACACAAATCAAATCTTCCTTACAAACCAAACAAAAAAAAAACCATTATAAAAAATTATACTGTTTGTTTGCTCACTCCACTTTTGGTAGGGATAAACATAACTGGACTGAAAGAGCAGGCTCAATAGGATGGCACAAGGTCTGTATGCTAAGAAAGAAATAAACCCAAAACCAAGAGCTTATACTGAATACCTGCTGCCACCTCCTTGATTAGCACTACACTGATATTTATTCTTTTGGACATACTTCAAAATTCCTTGCATTTTGCAGTTTCTGATGAATTACCTCACACTGCCATGACCAAAATTGGCCATCTTTTAGACTGACTGTAACAGTCATAACAGACAGTACTACCTAGAATTTTTTTCCTAATGTTAAAAGGCAAAAGAAACATTAACAGCATAAGCAGCTCCATAGATAGCACCAATAAAAACTGTTGTCCCTCGGTAAATTCCAACAGAAGACAACGTATTTCAGTAAGCTGTCTCAAAAATTAATTACAGCTTTGTTTACTAAAGCTCAAGAGACTTTAATCAGGAATCATTTTTTTAATAATTTTAACCATTTCAATTTTTGTCTTCAAGAAGAAATCTTGACTCCTACAGTAACACTGTTTTTCACAAGAACGATACAGTTTTAATAAAATGTATTTACACATCCTACAGAAATCACTATCATGCCAAAATTGTAGGGGGATGAAGCTGTGTATGCTTGTAGCACCCATGAAGTTTTGTTTGTTCTTCCAACGATATTTATAGATGTTTATATATAGCTCCTAACCTTTAGATTCAAATGCGAAAGTAGAATAACACCACCCATTCAGATTTAGGTTGTATAAAAATACACAAGTGGTTTTATTAAGTTCTTCTCTGGACTTACTGTCTTTTATTTTCCTGCAAGTCCTACAGTTCAATAAGCTTTGTCTCTTTTAGTCCACACCTTTTTTTTCAGTCTTTTTCCCAGCAATACCTTCAGTTTAAGTCACCCGTGTCCCCCCCCGCCTTGCTTCCTGACACACGGGAACTTTTCCCATCCCCACACTACACAACAACCAGCTCCAAAACGCTTGGATGTCAACTAGTCACCACTGCAAACACAGTGGCAAGGGGTCAGGGGACTACTGAGCTGAACGCTTATTCGTATCCAGGCTCTGATTACAGCGTCACTGCACACGCTGCCCCTTCAGCAAACGCAGCTGAAATGCCCGGTGCACACAGAGCACCTCGCAAGCACACAGTGCAATCAAAGACCTGCTCAGAAGGCAATCTAAAAATATTCCATATGGAAACTAATCACTGCACTCACAGCAACGGATAAAACAAAGTAACGGTAACTTTTTAGCTTCTTATTTATTAATGTGACTCCAATAAAATGACTGTCAGGAACAAACAACAAACCACATTAGATCATCACATTAAGAAGTAAGACAAAAATAACTGTATTCCTTAACAGACTGTGCTCTGCTCAGAACTGCAGCTGAGAATAAACCAGCACTTCTGTTGTTCATATGTAGCTTTTATACAAAATGTGCTACGAGGGAGATAAGCTAGGACTGAGGCATGAAAAGAGGAGTTATGCCTCTCAGTCAGAAATCATTTATTATACTCTTTACTCAAAAATTTATTGTTATTCCATTAATTTTACTCACCCGATGTTCATTGATAAGAAGATCTCGAGCAGCATTGAATATCAGCGTGTGCAAATGTTTAGAATAAAAGACCAACGTGTAGTCATAATCAAACCCATAAATTTCAATGTCCGACAGGCTCATTTCATTATTTGAAAAAATAGCATCCGGATTCAGCATGTTACTCATAATTGAAGGAACCAACTCTGTAAACGGAAAAAAAAAAGAAGTTCTATCAGCCTTGCAGTTTTATTTAAATAAAGACATAGAAATCCACTAGCAATTGCTAAATATAGACAAATGATGATGGAAACTATCAAACTAATTCACACTAAGCAGCTGTTCCTTAACAATATGATGCTGCTGAAGATGCTGTCCCAAACTTGTCTGGGTGACCCGCAGTTTTTATTTGAAGCACACTTTTCTCTGCACAGTCCAAGCTGGAGAGAAGATGTGTTTTGCCATCTTGCTTATTGGACAATGGCAAACATAATTTCTTGCTAACTCTGTTAACATACTTATTAATGCTTTTGAAAATTATTTTGGAGTTGGAGCATGATAGTATCATTACTATTATTGTTATTACTACTCCTCTAGGAGTCTTGTCTTCTCCTCCCATTACCTGGTTCAGCTCCAGCCACAGAAGCAGAACTGATATTGTTTTAATTTGACATTGCTTTAATTTTTATTTTTTTTTGCTTCACCATTTCAAGGTTATCACATTACTTATTTGTGTTCAAGTTGAGTAAACTGCAATAGTTTCCAAACAACTGCTACATATGCATTGCTATGCTTACTAACCTTCTAGCAAATCAGGAAACCAAAAATATTCTGCTTATTCTCTACTTATACATGCCTAGAATGTGTAAACCACTTACATTTTTAAGGCTATGTTTCTCTTGATATTTGATGGAAAAGTATACTGAGAAGTTAAGCCCATAATATATTAATAACTTCAGGACCAACACCAATGTCAGTACTAAACACAAAGAATGTTTATATTTCTTGTTTAGAAAACTTGAAACAGCAACATTAGGAAGCTAAATGCTACTCTCCTGTCAGCATAAAACATGAGCATGTTTTTCTTCCTTCCTTTCTCATAGACTATCTTTATATTCCAGACTTCCCTACTATTGGGGGGGAAAAAAAAGGGAACTATCATCCTAAATCTGTGCTTGGAAGGGTGAGTTTAAAGGGAATATGGTCTGTTTGGTTACTTTCTATATAGGTTTAAAAGGAACTGATCAAGTTTATCTCAACATCTTCAGCTCTGAGGACAGATCACTACATGCTCCACCACCAGAGAAAACTGTCTCAACAAGGTGGGGGTAGGTATGAAGACTCCAGGTCAGTTAGACAGCACTCCACTGTGAAAACTCTGGTCAACTCAGGGAATGGGAAATTACACTTCTTTTGTAAAATGCCTCTGACTGCTGCACAGTTGATGGGCAGATACACTAAGAAACAGAGAGATGCCAAATTACAGTCTAATCTGAAGCCATTTGACTTTATCAGATGCAGATATCCAAGTCTTCTAATTTTTAAGAGAGGGAGAAAAGCAAATTTACCGAATTTAATTCCAAACTTTAAATAAAGCCCAGCAATCATATTAAATGCAATTTGACATGCTACAATTAAGGCAAATACTCTTCCTCTATAAAAAGGACCATGAATCACTTGATTAACTTCAAGACATAAGCATATTTTTGGTGAACTTCTAAAATCACGTTACAATACCTATTTCTGTATTATAGTTAAAGTATTTTTTCAAATATCAATTGTTCAGCCTGGTGACTCAACACTTGTTTTAAAAACAAAGATACTTATATAGCTACACGTAGATAAAAAGATATTTTAGCTAAAAAAGAGCTTGAGTACTGCCTGTCTAAAAACAGACAATAAATGTTCGGTAGCTATTAGGCATTCTGGCTGGCAGAAAAGCATTCAAAGTTCTACAAACCTTGGTTCAAAAATCAGGGGAGATGTTGAAACGTCATCTCAACATCATAACTAAATGAAACGTCCTATACTTGAAGCCACTGGGTGACTTAGGGCTGTAATATAAGAGTCTGAAATATTCTAGAAGCACTTGCCTCATCTTTTGCCAACTCACACCCACTGACCGACTTATTTTTTCATAACATCACCCTGAAGTATTATTTGGGTGTGGTTTAGAATAAGAGAATGTCAATTCCATAAACAGGAAAAAAAAAAAAAAGTTGAAAATAGAAGGCTCCTCTTTTTCCTATCCCTTATCTGACCCTCCAAAAGCCCACAGCGCTCCCTGAGTACTTTTAATTTCGCTTCTGAAATGCTGACACTATTTTAGTTCGCAAATGTTTTGCTTGCAATATTTCCCAGCATTGGGAAGCCCACATTCAGGATTCTTAAGTACAGGATAACACAGTAATTTCTTTTCATAAAGCCAAAACATGAGATCTAAAGGTTGTCCAAGGGACAAGCTTTTTCACTTGATATTGTAGAACACACTCTGCCTCCTTCTCTTTCAGTCCCCAAAAAAGATTACATATTCAAGCTTGCACTCGAGCAAGTATTAACTTGATAATACTATTCCCATCAGAACAAGGGCAGAAGCAGTGAAGCAAGCATTTGTCCCCTAGCTTTTTGCCTAGCTGGGCCAAAGAACAGGGTTCCCCAGAGTCATCCACGTACGAGCATTTTACATCGCTTTATAGTGCTAGAACGGAACCACAGGCATGATGAAAAAAAAGTCATCCAAAACTTGGCAGGATTTTAACTCTTCGGAAAAGCAGCTTACTGCAGAAACCCCCTCAAACAGACGACCAACTTCTCGATTTCCTTTTTACACTTGCTTTTCCCCCGCACAACGCATCTCCAGCACCTGCCGCTTTGCCCGGCCCGAGTCATGCCGTGTGAAAGGCTCCTTCCTCCAGGCACCTCCAAGCAGCTGCAGCCCCGGAGGTTGCTCTGACGGGCTCAGCCCTGCGGACCTACCGAGGGGACGGTCCCCCCGCGCTCCCAGCCCGGCACCGGGCAGACCGCGGCAGGGGAGAGCGCTTCGCCAGGCGCTGCGGGACAGACCCGCGCCTCGCCCCCCTCCCGAGCCCTTCAAGCTGCCCCCACAACCTTTCGTCCTTCCCCTGCTCCCAGCCGCCAACCCGCATCCCTTCGCTCCGGGAGCGGCGGCGCCCCGACTCGCGGGCGAGGCGGGCGGGCACGGCGGGGCGGCCGCGCCACTGCCGCCCGCGGGCGCCGCTCACCCTTGGTGACCCTCTTGGCCTCCTTGTAGCGCGACCACAGGTAGCTCTTCATGTCGGGCGACGGCTGCTGCTGCTGCTGCGGGGCCACGGTGCAGAAGGGAGCGGCCCCCGCAGCGGGCAGGGGCAGAAACTGGCTCCGCCGCCCGCCCGCCCGCCCCGCCACCAGCAGCGACCGCGCCGCCGCTACCCCCGCCGCCGCCGCTGCTGCTGCCATGCTCCCACACGCTCCGCTCCGCGCCGCGCCGCTCAGCCCCGCAGAGCTCCAGCGCCGCCGCCGCCGCCGCCGGCTGAAGTCACTTCCTCGGGCCCCGCCCCGGGGCCGCGCCGAGGCGGGAGGCGGGTCCGGCCGCGGCCGCAGGTACGGCCCAGGAGGGAAGGAGGGAGGGACGGGGCCGGCGGGTGAGGAGCGGGCTCCGGCAGGAGGGTGCCCTCGGGGCGGCCGGGCCCCGACTCTCCGATCAGCCGAGCCGAGGAAGGAAAGCAGCGTCCCGCCATCCCTCACCGCCTCCAGCACCTGCTGGTCAAGGTCAAGGTCAAGTGGTGCTGCTCAGGGAATGTGCCCCAACTTCATGCCTCTCTGCTGCACTTCTGGTCTCTGCTGTGCCTGGAGCTCCTCTTACCACAAAGACCACATCAAATATTTACCTTTTCAGCCAGCGTGCACCTCGGAAGTGCTCTATACACCTGCTTACATCTGTGAGAAAAACAAGATCCAAACACATGCTGAATATAAAATAAGATGAAACCCACAGAAAGTCCTACTGCTGTCTTGAGGCACCCCATGTTCTCGTGAAATGCCACTGACAGCTGTAGATTCTGGCAGTCTGAGAACTTGAGCCATACCTATTAACACTCATAAAAAAAAAAAAAAATTAGATGATGCATGGATGAAGAACAAAAACCTGACCGCTGTCAAAACAGAATTCCTGATGTGCTCAGAAACTTTCTTTACAACAAAAGGAACATATTCTTTTTCCAGTATGGTAAACACCAAATACAATTTGTTCTTATATCAAGGAGATCCACATAACCCATTGTCACTTACGTCTGGAAGTTACTCAGCCATTCTTCCCCAAACATCTCTGAAGAAATCCTATACAAAACTGAAGGATTTCAGGCTAAATACTACTCTGAGCATTCTCTTTATTTACAAAGAATGATGCTCACCATATTTTTACAGGCAAAACCACAACAAACAAAGACAATCAACTTTGGATTTCAAAGTGTCTGTCACTGGGGAGCGATGTGCTCTATCCTTCCTAGCAAGGCTGAGTTCTTGACTGACATTACAACTGTGATCACCAGAAGTTTAATACTCTACAGGCTTCCAACAATGGGTTATTGGTGGAGACCACATACAGCTTTCATCAAAGTTCCAACATTATCATTTATGTTACACTGTCATGTTGTTATTTTGGTAGGTGATTCTGGTATATGTTACTACAAGTCCATCATGATAAATTCTGGGAACAAGGAGAGAACAAGATGGTCAATAGTTAGAAAACAGACAAGGTGAAAGACAACTTCATAGAGGATGCCTGAGCTGGTACTTGCTTTCTTTGATCTTTCTAGTCAGAGAAGATTTTTAGAGCATGCTTTTACTGCAACACCCTGTGGCAGAGAAAATGAAAACTCCCATTTAAGTTTGGCATCAGATTTTTCATGTACAACTAGAAAATAAAATTAAGTAATCTGTGAAATTACAAATTCTGAACTCATGCCATAGTTCTAGAGTATTGTAGGTTTTCCCATCACTCCAACTCCTAATCAATCATCTTCAACAAAGCAAAAACAACTGGACAGCTTTTTCACTCCAGCCTATGGGTTAATTAATCCCACAAGCAATTCAGTTGAAATTAATAGAAAAAGTCACATTGTTCTTCTCCTGAACACAGCCTAGCCTGGTCTCCCAGTCCCAAGACTATAAATATTGTGAACAATAACCACTTTGCTAGGTGAGGCATTCTCAAGGAAGAGTTACAAGAACTGCTCTGAATAATGCAAGGAGGAGCAGTAATGAAGAACCATTTCTAGCAGTTCAGTGGAGGAGCTTGTGCTGGCATAAGCAGTAAGAGAATATTGCAGACATGGATTTATGTTCCCTCATTGTTATACCAGTGTTAAGGTTAGAAAATTTATATCTAATAGAAATCTGGGAAAAGACAGTAGCAATATCACTCGCTCCTTGAAACCTGAAGGCTTTGAAGTTTCACATTAATTTCTTTTTTATACTAACAGCCTACAATGACAATACTTCTATTTCTTCTGCAAGCATGTGCAAGACAGAGCCTTGAATGTGAAAACTGCTATTGCTGTTTTTACTTTTACTTTTACTGCAGAAAGTTTAGCTCACCAGATAGCCAGGACTAACCTATAAAAATAGATTTGTGCTTAAGTATCTAGTCCCAGTGCTTTCAAAGATCACTGTCCCTGCATATCAGACAACATGCTTTTTTAATGCCTAATGTGTGTCGTACAAATAAAAAGAAAATTTGTTTCTTTGAAGTGATTCTGTTAGCTAGGACAACTTTCATGGGGTGTTTGGCGAGCAGGTTATTCTCACAAACCAAAGTAATCCCTAAGTGTTAGCAGCAAGACTGGAGACACAGCTAAACACAAGGTAGTGGTGTTTAAAAATAAGTTGTTAAGCCACTCAACTTCAGACAACTCTGTCCTTTCCCTTGTCTCCAAGTAATGACTCAAAAATTGGAAAATATGTGGTAATGTAAACTGGTATGAAGGAGCACACATGGAAATTAATTTGTTTTTATTTGGGTCCACATTCCTTCTTCCAATACATGTATCAGTTTTTATTTAAGTAGAATACAACATGCAGAAGTATAGAACGTCAACTTAATTTTTTTCTAAAATGGCACTTGACATGAAATATAGTCCTACAGGCTAGTGTTACTTTAAAGTCCCTTCTGACTAAAGAGAAATTTCCAGTACTTTACACAATGCACAAAAGACTTTCCTTCACGTTATTTTCAGAATTTATCACACCTATGATACTTACTTGGTACAAAACTGAAAGGTGTTCAGGTAAGTCTGACAATTAAAAAAATTAAAACAAAAAAAGGAAATGAAAACCTATACCCAACATAAAGAGTTTCCAGAAGAATTACCCTTTCAAAGAAGACTCTCAGGAGGCTGTCTTACTGCATAGATAGAACAAGAGAAAGCATGAGCCTAAAAGCAAAACAGCGTGAGTTGTGCTATGTACATATCACAGAGCCTGATTTACATCTGGCATCCCACTACTATTCAAGGCCTGTGGAATTAACTATGGTCTGGTTGGGGATAACACATGGGATTTCTTTCAAAAGAAACAGAATGCTTATGAACTGTTTTACTTTTAACTGAATTTGGTGGCCAGGAGTAATTCAGAGAGGGGCTACATAGTATGCCCAGTTCACAAACACCAGGTCTATTAAGAATGTTGAAGTTTCAAGACATAGATGCCATATGATCTGCGTGTGCATACTTGAAACACCTTTGAGAATCTCTCCTGTGTTTCACATATATTATGCAAGACAAGCTAGATCTATGATTATACCACCTCTGAGGTCTTGCTTTTGAAAGTTTTGTTCACACAGGGGAAACACTCAAATCTCTCCACAGCCTGCTCAGCCCTGCCAGCTCCTCCTCACGTCTGAGGTCACCAAGAGCGCTCAACACTTTGGAAACCACTTGGCTAATAAAAACACTCCTGCACTGAAGTCACTGAGGGATGGATTTCTAATAAGCTAGTACAGCCTTCAAGTAAAGCCTCAGATTGGGCTAACAGATACTACAATTCATTAAAGTGCCATTGAATGAAACTAAAACGCAAGGCTAGGAAAGCTGACGATATCTTACTGCAGCTTCTGTGGTGCAACGTTCCAAATGGAACAGCTTGGTAAGCAATAAAAGCTTTTGACAGATTCTATCGGACAGTTGTTTATTACAGAGCTGAATGACCCTGGACTGACAGAGAATGGGCAAAGGCAGCACAGAAACAACCTCCTGTGAAAGAATAATAAAAGAACAGTCTTTCTTGCTGCCTTAAAAGATTCTGAGGAATGTTATTTTCCTCATCTTTAACATAATTCCTGCTTACATCAATATTCCCAAATGTGTTTGTGAAAATTATTTTGCTTTAAAGGCCTCAGAATGCCATCAGATGCTATTGTTTCTAGTCTTCTTGGAAACCACACCCTGCTACAGTCCCTTTAATCAGCCCGTACTTCTCCCACTGACAAATGCTTCCATATGGAAAGGTTTTGCATATGTTAAATTTTTATATGCTTTTCATTTTGGTATTGGTATTTAAAAATAAATGGAATTGTGTTTATGTGCAACTATTTGGTAAAAGCATCTAACTCTTTGGAGAAAAAAAGCTTCTTTTCCTGAGCTACATATTTGATTCCTTTGCTTCTGTTTCAATAATACTAACACTATGTAAAATTGATTTGCCACATTCAAAGTGGAAAAGCAAGAACATAAGCACACACTACCTGTGCATATTAATAGATGGTTAAAATGAGAGCAGAAAAATAAAGCAATTGACAGAAACATTAGTGTGTGCACTGTTCCACACAAACTTCACTATAAATCACAGCTGAATACTTTCAGTGTTACACTTCCATAATACAACTGGGCAGAGAAGATTCTGACTATTTAGTTCTGCCTGGTGAAGATTTGTCAGCCGACCCTCCTCTGAGAAGAAAACACATAATCCAAACAAGTTAGGAGATTTCCTGGTAACTCGGGTGGCACAATTTTGCTATCCAGGAAACTTGGAATGTGAATTCTGGTACATTATTCCATCCACTACATCAGGCATTGCCAAAACTCTCAAGGTGTTTTAATATAATTTGAAATAGCACATAAATTTTGTATAGACTTAGGAAAAATAAAAATAGGGACACAAGTTTTATAACTGCTTTTGCCCAACTTCCTAGCTTTTCAGCCTAATCTTATATTCAGAAGATTAAATGGCAATTAAAACAAAAAAATCACCTTTCTTTTCACATGACATTCATTTTGAACTATATATCCACTTAGGAAAAAACTTACCAGAGGAGTTAGAAGCCTGTTATTATTTTCTGTTAATACCATCCAGTATAGCACACGCTACCTGTCATGTGACAGGTGAGCACTTAACCAGTATCTATTCCAAAGGATATTCTGAGTCTTCAAGGTGAAAAATAAGCCGTGTTAAATTATTTCATA